GACCTCCAAGGAAAGATCTACATCCGGCGATACCACTCCGGTCTATTTTACCAAAAGATTTATTTACTTCCATGAAAAACGTTCGGAAGAATTTCTGTACTCGTTATCTTGCCCAATTGATTACACCGTGTGGCTCTCGACTTCTTTCATGGAAAGATTTATGCTTTCTTAAACGAGTATCGAACAAAGGATCTGTGCCTGCTTGGTTTAATTATTTGTCTAATCTTATTGTTATTCCTAATTCACCTTTTTTTATTTTAAATTCCTAGCTCTCATACTGTAGCTTCTATTTCTTTTATAGACATTAGTCGAAATTATTGGTTTAACCCTCAATGGGCTATTTCTTTTAATCGTAATACTAACTCTTTCCTCGTTGGCCGTGTGATTACTACCTATCTGCTCCACGTAATAAAACTCTTATTTCACATTGGATTGCGTCACCTGTTGATGATATGCTTTCTGAATTTACTGCATGCCAAGGTTGTGCTTCTGCTATCCCGCGATCCTCTACTTCTAAGACTTTACTTAAACGATGTCCCTCTGAAGGATGTTTTTCTTATGTTCTGTTATCGAGTTTGATCCGTTATCCTACGAAACCTCGTACTTATATACATGCGGACACTCGTTCAGTCTTACTTTCTGCGTCGTTAGGCTTTGCCAAATCTCTTTTACTATTTCATTTCTTTGCTCCGGTTCGACTACCTCCTATGAATAACCAAGAGTCTAGGATTTCTGATATCCAACTTCCTTCTTCGGTGTCTACACTTTATATTGATGGTTCCTTCCTTCCTCCTTCTAGCCATTCAGTATCTTCGATGGCTTATGCATGGACTGCTATAGATCCTGATGGATTTATTTTGGAATCTCACTATAATATCATTTCTTCCATTTTTCCTTCTGCTTTACGCTCAGAAGTTTTTGCTTTATTGCACGGATTGGACTCCCTTCCTCGGAATTCAAAGATTACTGTCACCACTGATTGTGCTCAATTACTTTCTTTATGGTCTTTGTATGTGGATGCTCCTTTTATTCCCAAAATGCTTAAAGAATCCAACCACCTTTTGTGGTCCTCCATACAAACTATTATGTCACAAAAGAATCTGGATGTTACCTTGATCAAGGTTCCTGCTCACGCTGATGACCCTTTGAATAATCATGTGGATGCATTGGCCAAAGCCGCTCATACTGATTCACATCCTTCTTCTCGTCCAGCCTTGGAATTGCTGGCTCCTTGCATTTTACAATTTAATTCTTTATTTGTGGATATGAATATCCGGAAATTTATTAGAGATATTTTTGACGCTAAGAGTCTTTTAACTCTTGCTGTATTAATAAGATCTAATTCTTATTCTCCAACCTCTGATATTGATTGGGCATGCACCAAATTTTGTCTCAATAACAATAAGCAATTCATCTCTCATCAGAATGGCCGTTCCAAGTTTTGTGGTTTCCGTATCAAACTACTATTGGATATGCTTCCGACGCTTACAACTCTTCAAAGACGAAAACCTCATCTTTATAATCCGACTTGGCTTTGTCCTCAATGTAACTCTTCTCCTGAGACTTTAGACCACTTGTGGATTTGTCCTTATATCTTACCAGAATTTAGCCCTTTAAATACTTTCAAAACATTACTATTGGCTCTCCAGACTACTTATCTTGATAATTTCCTTTCCGCGTCACCTTTATTACCTTTACCGGACTCTTTTGTTGCAGAATTTACGGCTCTTGATTGTTGGGATTGTGACCCTCCTTCAATTTCCTGCCTGAGACTCACACGAGGACTTATACCGATATCCCTCACAGAATTTCTTGGAATTTATTTTTCTTCACTTACCATATGGTCTATCTTAGATACACCTTTGCACGACTTTCATTTTGACCTTTATGTCCAAATCTGGTTGTGCCGTTCCATTTTCTTTCATCATTGGGAATTAGCTCAAGGCATTACAAAAAAAATGAAATCGTCAGCTCTTGGGCCTTCTTCTATTCTTCGACCTTCCTCTAACATTCCTCTTGACTCTTCGACACCTTCCTTGGCGACAGCTTCCTTGGATTCCTGGGTTTCTTGGGTTTCCTCTTCTATAATCCGTGGGGGATCTTGGATTTCGCATTTGGATTTTTGGCGCCGCTTAACAGTTCAGCCTCTACTTAGGATTTCTTTTTGGTAACGGATTGGATCTTAGGACATGCTGGATAGTTGACTCACACTGGCCTTCGGGTAAAGATGGGGTATGCGTTTCTGTAATAGTTTAGTTTTTCTTTACTTAATTTATTTTGTTTAGATTTCTTTACTTGTATGAATCGTGAAGCTAGTTCTTTTTATTTTTTGTTTAATTTTCTATATTTTGTAATATTGTTCGATTTGATCATTGTATTTTTCGTCTAAAAATTATATAATAAAAGATAAAGTCATAAGACTGTTTGCTCATAATCACCAAATATGGACTGTCCCAAATGTGTGACTATAAAGAGAGTTGACTGTACTTGTTATTTCGCAATATTGATTTTAACTTTGTTGATAGTACAAATTTCATTAATTCTTTTGTCATAACTTTCTGCAAAGCCATACCAGTGTAAAATCTTCTCATAACCAGAATGAACAGCTTTTCAAAACATATAGATTACAGTTAACTTTCTCTATAGTCACTCCTGTTATAGTCACATTCTACTATATAATCACACTAGTTAAATGTTTAAAACATTTTATTATTAAAATCTATCCTATATAGTCACAAACTATCTATAGTCACTATTACACCTATCCTCAAAAATCTTATATTAAAAAGAACCGTTTATAATCACAGTTACAGTATATAAAGAATATATTAAATAATTTGGCATCTAATAATCATATAAAAATGTACTATAGCTTGTTAGAATCGTCTCACTAAGACGAATCAAATGGGTGTAGTTTTATCCTTTTACTGTGCAAACAGTCCTATGACTTTATCTTTTATTTATATTTTAACTTCGAAATTATGTGAAAATCAAACAATATTACAAAAATAAGAAAATAGATAATAAAAAATAAAAAGAGTAGCTTTATGACTCATACAAGTAAAGAAATCTAAACTAAAACAAAGTTAAAGAAAGAAAAACTAAACTATTACAGAATCGCATATCCAACTTTACCCGAAGGCCAGTGTGAGTCAACTACCTGACATCCAAAAATCCAGTCCATTACCAAAAAGAGACCCTAAAAGGTTGGACTGTTAAGCGGCGCAAAAAATCCAAGTGCGAGATCTAAGAACCACCCCAGATTATAGAAGAGAATATCCAAGAAATCCAGGAATCCTGAGGAATTGTCGCTGAAGAGGAGTTTTTTTGTGGAGAATATTTAGAAGAGGGACAAGAAGAAGGGCCATGAAGTTTCAACGAGGCGGAAATTCCTTGAGATTCTTTCCAAGCATGAAAAAAAACATTACGACATAACCAAATTTCACCATAAAGTTCAACCTAGAAGTCATTAAGAAGTGGAAAAATAGTATTGTAGATGACGGAAACAGGAAAAAATAGCTTTAAGAAAGCCGTCAGGTGTGCAGGAATTAATCCTCTAGTAAGCTAGAGACAAGACATGGAAAAAGCATCAAAATTCCAACAGTCCAAGATTGAAAATTCGTCATGGAATGAGGTAGGAAGGGACTTCAAAGATGAAAAGGATGCGAAACAAGTGTCTCGAAATTTTACAATTTCATTGTGATAAGTGGAACAAGGGTTAAGATCAGGGAGGATGTAAGGACAAGTCCAAACATGATTAAGATCTTTAGGAGTGGTCACTGTATACCTCCGGTCAGAATAATCTTCTGTATCATGTAGCACCTATAGTCACAATTTTTATGTATTTTAGGCCGGCTTGGTCTGGGACCCTTCTGGTAACGATTTATTTCATAAATAAAGTATTATTTTACCAAAACATGAGAAACGGGTCACGTGTAATGATGCAAATATGCAATGCCTGTGCAATATTAGCGCTTGTTTTTTCCCAGAAGTAAATTTTTATTTCACTCCAGAACGTAACACTATTTTTTATCTGACCCAAATATCCCTATAAAAACGTAACACTATGTCAACTATCACTTTGGTTGTGGGTGAAAACCCTTATGATAATGCTTTCGCAGTTGAAATAGATACAACAAAGCTAGTTAGTTTTTTCAGGGACACTATCAAGGAAAAAAATACACAAGCTTTCGCTAACGTTGACGCCAAAGGCATCAAACTATGGAAGGTTGACATTTCCCTCAAAGAAGAAAACAAGAAACTCGAGCTCATCAACACAAAAATAAATGTTAATATCAAGGAGAACCTTGGTGGTGTGGAACTACTTCCACTTTCAAAGATTAGCAAACATTTTACCTCACAGCCAGCTGACTAACACATTCATATAATCATACAGCATCCTGTTGAGACGAAAGAAGTTCACTGCACTGCAACGTATGGGCGCAAGAGTGTGAATTTTCAATGGACAGTAAGCCGAGAAATGGTGTCATTGGAAGGTTTTAAGAAGAAGCTTTGTGAATATTTCACGTTTTCGGATGAGACAGAAAATGAACATATCGTAATAGGTCATGTAATAGGTGGCGCTGGCATGAAGAGAAAAATTTCAACAAAAAAAATTAGACCAGGCAAGTTCGAGTTTCCAGAGTGCAAGTGATACGGTTGAGATTGTGACAGAGCGTAAAGTTATTCAGTTTTCTGCTGACGAAGATTTATTGAGCATTATCTGGACTGCTAACCCCAAGGTGGATCTGGATATAGTTGTGGATACGTGTAAGTATTATCGAGATATTTAGGATATTCACGTGCCGATTCTACCAAATGTCTGATCAGTTAATTTATGCATGGCTGATTTTATAGCGCAACAACCTTTCTCTTCGTATACTTTCCCCAAAATGAAGGTTCTTTTCGGTTTGAAGGCTGATAGCTATGATCATTTACCATGTATTGAGATTGGAAGTTCAGCAACTCCAGAAGAAATCAGGAATAGTAATGCACAAGGTATCCCACCAATCACTAGCACGAATGAGGCCACCCACTGTGAATTTATTTCTGCAATTATATATGGTGTGGTGTCCATCTTTGATGGTACTGTAAAAGTTTATCCCCAGTATGAAGTCTCTGGAAGTCATGGAAGGGACCCATAGATTGGGTGATCAAAATGGGAGACACAATTATTTCTGTAACTGAAGCAAAACGAGAAGATATTAACCAAGGTGTTGCCCAGAGCACTGTCCAAGCACATGCATCTTTGCAATGCAATCGCAAAAAACGTACTTATGATGATGCTGATTTGTATGAAGGTGCAATGTACTGCATTGTCTCAACGGGTATGCTTGTAAAAAATTTGAAAAATATGACTTGAATTACTACTTGATCAAAATCAATGCGATTATTACTAACTCTTTTATTTGATATCCAATTTCAGGTGTCGACTGGGTAATAACAAAAGTTCAAAGTGGTATTGGAGATGGGAATGATAATGGTGATGGGAATCCGGTCAAAGTTTTTTTGTGTTTGCCACCTCTACCTATCAACTACCCATCATTATCCGTGATGACCTAGTTGGACCTATCGAGAAATTATTTGGGCAAATTAAGTGGTTTTTGATCAGCAAAAATCATCATTGGTCAATGGAAAGTGGGTAAAAATAGAATAATAGGATAGACATATGTCTTGAGTTAATATTTCAGAAATAGGGGCATTAGCATAGAAAAAAAAACATATATCATGGGCTATGTCCCGATCTATGTATTTATTTTCGCATGTATTAATAAAAAATTTTTCTTGCAAATTTTGCTAACGGGCCATTACAAACTGAATCATGTAATTTATTTACTACATCAATAAAAAGTTGTAAACGAATATGCAATCACGGGGGATAAAAAATTTTAATAACGCATTAATTTCTTAAATATGAGGCGTTCTAAAAATTAATCGTAGCGATAAGTGTGAATCGGTAATGTTTTGTATTATTTTTTTTTGCCTCAGTTGCATTCAATCCAATCCCGAGGAACTTCTGCTACTGTGTGGGTGGGAGTGATTTATATTGGCGAAAATAATTTTTTTTATGTTTGTAAGAAATGGTGTAGGAATACGTAACTAGCAAAAAAAAACAATTAGTATAGAAGCCTAAGAGAACAAAGAAATAACTTAATGCTGGGACTCGCGTTAAATGACTTAGGATCCGCATACTACATTTCATTTGCTTCTCTGTTTGCTATATATGAAGAATCATCAATAAATTTTTACCACAGTAAATCGTGATCAGAAATTATAAAAGTGCTTATTTATTTAACTTCTGAAAAGAACTCAACAGAATAAAAGCTAAAAATAAACTGATTTTACAATACAATCTACCCTTGATATAGCGAAGAAACCGGTCTGCACCTCAAATTCGTTATAGCAAGTTAACGAAGAATTTGAAGAATTTGATTGGTTACTTCGTTATAGCGAGGGAAAATTGACATATTTTATTGGCTAAGCGTCACGTGATTCGTTATATAAAAATTCGCTATAGGAAGGGTAAACTGTATGCTGATTTTGGCAGTTGAGACAACGGGAGTATAATAAAATTTTTAATCAACCATCGTTTTAGGGATTTTTAATGCTTGTCGGACTGTCAATTTCTTAGAATGAGTTACCGTTTGATTAATCTCTTCGAACAGTATTTCTTGCTTTATTATTTCATCCTATGAAAAAAATTACCATCATACAACTTTTTTGTGAAGGGTACATAAAGAACCTGAGCTAAACTCACATGGAATATAGACATCATTCTTAGAACCGACTTATATTGACCCCGCCCACTTAAGCTGAAAGGCAAGACGGCGGAAGCAAGTTCACATGACAAAAAGTGACCATTTGGAAGCAGATTTAATGAATATAGTGTCAATCGATTATCTGAAAAAATGGGAACAGGTTACGTTGCGATGGCTAACAAAAACATAGATCATGCATAAATTACTTACTGATTGATTGAGTGCTGAATACCTTGATCTTGGTCTCATGGTCCATATCACAGTCAAGGTGTTCCCGCAATACAAAATTAGATTTAAGATATCCATTTGAAAAGTTTTCTTCGAGTCACCTAAAACATGTTTATTGGTAGCATTACAAGGGAGGGCCCGCGACTTCTAAATGCCAAATGTCCAACCCATCAGAGATCCTAGTCGCCTTTGCATCTACCAAACAATACCCGAGTTTGATTCCGACTTTAATATTTTTGCGGAATGGGAATGGGACTCGATCCAATCGATATCTAATGTTAGAAACGTTCTTTCGTAAAATTTAAATAGCGCTGATACTTGGTAAACTATATGCTTTCGCTCGCCTATTTTTCTATTCATAGTGGGACTGACATCTACGAGGTTGTAACTAAGGAAAGACAATCGTTAGCAATTTCTTTGATGAACAAATAGATATTAATGTTTACCTACAAACCAGAGAGAATTTTTTCACAATATAGGCAGAAAGGCTTATCTATATCTATAATATCCTTATTTTGAACTACGTCTTTAAACTTGTCTCCAGATTCCTTAATGGTGGTATATATATACTGCTCTAAGGTAGTGTTTCAACCTGCGGATAATCCGTTATTTAAGTGTTCAAGCAACTCATCCAAAGCATTCTTGATCCCGAACCTGATTACATGTTTTTTATTATTGAGCAATAGGCCATAAAAGAAAACTTTTTTGAGCTCTTCACTTTGCATTGCCTCAAAATAATCATTCAGTGATCAATCATTCTGAATTGGTAGTGGAACATCTTTTCTCTTTTCAGATTCTAAGATCGGAGAGTTAGGTTGAGATATAAAATCTCTATTATCTGTTCGATCTACCCAATTTAATGTATCTCTTACTTTGAGAAGGCTATCTATTGCCATAATAGATTAGTTGTATATTATACCATATCTTTAATAAAATGTTCTATGTCAACCAAGCGAATAAAAAATAAAATTAATAAATGATATCAGACTGATAAATTAGTCCTTCCGATCTGATCCCTCTAGGATCCCCTCTAACCCTTATATGTGATTAGTTTTTATCAAAGATGTTGAATGGATTTGTTTGATCATATCAGATGGAGAAACATGGTTGTCAGGTAAATGTTGAAGGGCTTCCCTAGCATAAGTGTTAAATTTTGACGGATTCTTAGGTATATGCGTTATGCCAGCAAATACTGATCCCAATTTGCGCAAAGAGCTAGGAAGTAGCAAGTCATAAGGCTTAAGAATAAATTTATCTTTCTTCAGAAATGCATTTAAGTATGTAGATCCAGGCTTTTCAGGGTCTCTTAACTCTTCAGAAGAAATCGCATTTTGAATCCATATAAGTAATTGCTTAGCCCGCTCTTCATCCTTTTCCAGTGATCTAAATACTCAAGAAATATCCTGTTTGCCTCAGTTTTTTGCATATCCAGTTACGCCACTATTAGATATATGCAGATTTTTAATTTAGTGGGGTGGATATGGGCCTGTTTGTCAGATATATTAGATAAATCATACTCACCAAATCTTTCCTTCTTCGTAACAGAGATTATTTTTTCTGGAGCATTGAGAGTTCACAATTCTCTTCGAAGCCCAGAAAAACATAATAGAGCAATAAAAGCATCAGGAGATGTTTTCTCTAAGGTTCTAGATATCGCTTTTACATTTCTTTCACTAAGATTAATACCGAACAATATGATGAGCCATTTCTTTAATAGTTTCCTCAGAATAAGCACTATCAGAAATTTGACATATATTCACTTCTCCAGCCTCTGACCCATCCCCTTCTTCTTTGGGAGATACTTGGCTTTTACTTTGCCCAATTCTCTCATGGAGAATGCTAAATTTATATCCTTTTTAAAAATAATCACAAATCTGATGCCTTTTTTCTTTATCTACCTTTGGCACACCAGTTGTCAAGAGCTCAAGTATTTCTGGCGCATACTGGCTAAGCTCTTTAAGACTCATCTCATTGGTGAGTTTGTGGTCTGTAACAAACTTGGTTGTAATAGCAGTATGTAGAATATATGGTGGTAATTAGATTAATCTGTGGTATTCAGATTATATTATGTGGGAAAAAGTTCAATTTGAAAAAAAATATCCACCTGGCCGATGGTGATTTTCATGAGCATTTCTTCAATTGTATTTCAGAGATATGCGACAAATTTTTTGAATAACTATAATAAAAGTGAAAGCAAAGTTTTAATCAAAATTACTTAGTATGGATCATCTAACCTGCCAATACGTCAAGAAAGATGATTCAATTTGTGGAAAAGGGTACTGGCATGCTTTAGGATGTGCTAAACATTATAAATCCCGTTTTAAAACAATATGCCCTATCTGTAATGAGCTAACCTATTCTGATACTGGAATCTGTAGCACACATAGTAGAATTAAGGTCGCTTGCCAAAACTAAAGAGTTTTGGCATACCGAAACTGTCAGGCAAGCAACCAAAAATGCCAAAATGCCAAAACTGCCAAAACTGCTAAAATGCCAGAATTATAAACATTAATATTCAAATATAGTTTCAGTCTACAGCCAATCATATCTGAATACATCAAATCAATATCAAAAATAATCATAAAGGTTACTTTCATCTCTTTTTTTTTATCTGTCCTTTAACTCCTAACCGTTGCATCTTTAGAAAATTATATACCCTGTAATTCACTCAAGTCATATGATATTATCTGTCATGTTTAATAAATATTTTCGTGTTCATTTCGCATTACTTTCTTTATTTAAATACATACAAAAATAAACACATTTCAATATGAACAGCACTTTAGACTTAGGAAAAATTAAAAACAAAGGAGGAAGGCCACCCAGTTTCATTTGGAAGGACATTACTAGAGGAAATCACGTTGGTTCAGGAAAATATCATGCCACCTGTAAATATTGTAATTTTTTCTGGTCGCGAGATGAATGTGAAAACAAATCAATAAAAAAAAAAGACTATGACAGACTATCATGATTTTACAAACCTTGGCTAAATTTTTTATTGCATATGGTATTTCATTCTAAGTAGTAGAACATCCTTTTTTTATTAATTTCGTAATAAAGAAGCTTAATTCTTCATACGAGCTACCAACCAGAGAATTTTTGTCAGTTCAATTACTTGAACGGAAATTAGTGATGGTAAACTCAACTGTTGCATTCGTCATTGAAAATGAACATTAGGATTGTCTGCACTTTTTTTTAAATGATATTCTTTTTTTTTTTTTTTTTTNTTTATTTTTTTTTTTTCCGCAGCGCATTTGCAGTTTTATTAAAGTAAAAAAATAAAAAGATATATACAAAGTAAAATTTCCTAATAACTACTCTAATATAATTAAACTACAAACCACTCGTCATACCGGTAGTACCCCACGTGTGCACTGTCGAGTGATCGTTTGACTCCGTAGGTAGACTTCGTTTAGTAATGGGTCATCTTAGCCATAAAGGCCCTATCTTCAATGTCTGGTGATCATGGGACCCATTAAATGATATTCTTAACTGTTAATGCGTATTTAATTAAATAATATTTATATAATTTAGCATTTGATGGATGGACGTCACCTGCACACATGCCTATCTGGAATTTTGTTATTATGACTCCCTCAAGGGAGGAGTATTTGTTTAAACTTCAATATTTGTCTGACTATTCGCATATAGACAATTACATAGCTGAATCAGCTGTTGTATTGGATAACGCTTCAAATGTTCAAAATGCATGCAAAATAATCTGATATTCTTAAAGAAAGTTTTAGTGATCATTTATTGTAAAAGGTTAATATATTAGGTTCATTTTTTAAAATTCTCATCAAACTGGCGCAAGACTTATACAATTAATCAAAGAAAATAGTATTCAGTATTCACAGAGGAGGAATGCAAGACACGTTGGACAACTGCCAGTGAATCAGTAGATTCAATAATTAGATTAGAACCGGTACTAGAACAAATTGCTACTAATAACAGTAATTTGTTGAACAATAAGGTCAAATGTGTTATCCAAACACAAAATTTTTTTTCCGATTTATGAATCCTTTCATTCGTTTTGAGTCCACTGAGAAAAGCTGTCTTGGCTTTAGAAATTATCCAGATCATTTAATCAAAACTTCCATAACCATTGTTTCACCATAATGAATGAAAGATTCAAAGAATTTGATGATGACAAATATATTACTTGCTTTTTTCTAGATCCCTGATTTAGGAATAGGCTTCTCAAAGACAAAGCTTATTCAAGAATTGTAAGGTTTGCCAGGACCCCAGAAACTCTATAGATAGGTTGCAGTTAAAATGGGTAAAGTCATAAGAAAATATTTTGCAAATCATTACTAAAAATGGCTAAATTATATACTTAAAAGGAAGGTGATACCAATTTTGTTATGATTTTTTTTCTTTTTTGACCATCTATCCAATAGGAGTTTGGGTAAAGTTCATATAAAAAATTCAATTTTTTAGACCAACCTTTATATATAGTTTCCGGGGTCCTGGTTTGCCACTAAAATCGGTAAAAGATTAGGATTTGATCTCAGAGAATTCAAAGATTACTATGATAATAAACCGCCCTTTGATTTTAATGAATCTTGCTCTCTAGATGATTCTCTAAATTGATTGATACCAATCCACAACTGAATAGTCTCGAGGTTTTTCAACTCTCAGCTGGTTATTTAATGATTGATGTTTAAAATTGATTAGAATCCATGGGTAAAATGATCATGCATTGGAAGTCCAATGCTAAAAAAAAACTTGGTTTTTACAGTATGAAACTGAAATGAACATTTGAATTGCGGAGGCTCTAGCAGAAACTAATGATGATGATGATGAATGTGATGTTTTATTGAATGAAAGTTTACCTAATCAAATTACAGTTCCTCTGGATAATTGTATTATCTTAATAAAATATATATGGATTGATAAATTTGTTAATTGATAACACAAATTAGTAATTGAAGAAGTTGGGGTGATTCCAGATGATATTTTGGATGATTCTGAAGAAAAATAAGATATATCAATACAGATGATGGTAATAATGAAGAACAAGAAAGCGATGGAAGAGGAAATTATGATTATAATGTAAAGGAGTTATTGGACGACTTCATCAATGAAGACGTTAAAGACTATGAAGATGAATAAATTTTTACATTAATAAATCAAAATTTGCGATAAATAATTTTTTTTTAATATACAGTCGGACCTCTATGTAATCACCTCCTGTGTAATCACAACTCTTTGTAAGCACATATTTATCTGTAACCGACTTAAAATTAATCAAAAAACCCTTTTGTAATCACTTATATTATATAGTCACTATCACCAAAAATAATTTGTAACGAAAATATTGATTTATTATTATTAAAAACTTCCTTACAATCACATGATTTCTTATTGGTTAAAAAATCGATCATTTGATTTGCACATTACGTATAAAAATTCCGCAGTGCGCAGTATTTGCAGCAAACGCCACTTTTCCTTTTCATATACGCGTCTTTATTATTATGATGACTCAATCTAATCAACTTAAAAAGCATCGTTCAGCTATTAGTAATGACGTTAAACGCCAAATCTGTGAATGGGCAGAGACTAATAAAAATAAAACGCATATAGAAATTGCGAAATATTTTAATTATAAGTACCCAAACTTGACAATTGAACAATGTACAATATCAAAAATTTTATTACAAAAAGATAAATGGAAAACTGTACTGGAAAATGAAAAATCTAATAAAATATTTAAGCATAAACCAGTTAAGTTTCCTATGCTTGATCGTNTTTAATATTTTAATTAATCATTTTAGTGATTTGATTTACATACATTATCATACAATATTATATACAGTAAATTGTAATTTGGAACAGATTTAAGGAGTTTTTTATTTAAATTTCAATTTACAATTGTGAAAAATACTCCAACTAAAATATATGAATTGCATTTGAATTTCTCTTTAAAAACATCATTTTACCCGCCAGTTTTGAATCTAAACGTGTACATTTTGCAGTAATTTGGTTACTCACGTCAGAAAATAGTCTTTCACTGGGTACTGATGAACCGGGAATAGATAAATATTTTCTAGCTAATTTAGCAACATTAGGGAATTGAGTTTTCCGAATTGCCCACCACTCAAAAGGATTTACGCTATGATCAGCTATTGGTGTACGAATAGGATCCAAATAACTTTCTAATTCAGAAAAGGGATTTGCTGTCACCTGCATACCAAAAATAGAAGAGTGCAATCGACTATGGTGTTGTTGTTGGCTTAAGCTACCAGATGGTGATGATTGTACCAAATTTAAATCAATTAATTCTTTAAATTGATGCATTAATTCTGTTTTTGCCTTATTGCGTGTTTCTTCATCCCAGTTAGAGAGTGTTTTCAGACGCGGATCTAAAAGAGATGCTAAAAGACCAATCATTATGGGTTCATTCCAATAGACAAACAAGGAATTATAAATAGTCTGTTTCATTATTTTAAGAATATCTTGTGCTGGCTGAATAGTTGATGCTGCTGCTGCTTTAGATCGAGTTTGGTGGTGATGTGTCATTGATTGCTCTGGAGTATCAAGCTCCGGATTATCTTCTTCATCACTATCACTTAAGTCACTTTCTTCATCTGATTCTTCATGCTGAAAATTTGGAGCATCTTTAAATAAATTATAATTAATTAGCAATATAATTTTTAAAATAATATAATAATTTATAATAACAATATAGTCAATTTACCTTGTTCTAATTCTAAATCATCATCATTGACTTCATCATTTTCAGCATATTTAAATTTGAGGACTTGAATCAAAGGATAAATAATTGATAAAGTAGCATAGGATGTTCCACTAAAGTATGTAGTGGCATCTTCAAAAGGCTCTAATAGATCCACAATTTGTTTTAATAAATTCCATTCATGAGGTAATAAAAGCCATTTTTTAAGTCTTCTCCCATTTGCACGATCATCATAATCTGTCTCTTATACACATCTAGATGTGTATAAGAGACAGGTTTTCTGTATCCTAAATTTAAGTTGTATAAAAATCACACAAAAATTAAACATTTTCTATATCCTAAATTTAAGTTGTACAAAAATTGCATACTTTTAATATGCTTTGAAAAACTTCATAACTATTTTTATCCAAAAATCTGCAATAATTGTACAATTTCCACACGGACTTGAACAAATATTGTACAAAAATTGGATGGTTTTTTTTTATAGGGAGAAAGCAAGAGTTTTTGCAGAATCATTTGGTATACAGGAAGATCAATTAAGCTTTTCTAATGGTTGGTTAGATAAATTTAAAAAGAGAAATAATATTCAAAAACATCATGTGCATGGAGAATCAGGAAGTGCTCCATTAGCATCTCTTCCAGAAGAAAGAGCAAAATTGCATCAACTTCTAAGCCGATTTACTCCTGATCAAACTTATAATATTGACGAAACAGGCCTTTATTATAGGATGCCACCAAATCAAACACTTTCATCCAAACCAGTTCTTGGTCAAAAAAAAGATAAAACTCGAATAACTGTTCTTCTTGGTACTAATGCAATAGGAACAGATAAACTTAAACCATGGGTAATTGGTAATTCAAAGCGTCCAAGGCCTCTCTCTCGAGTTAATTTTAATCATCTTCCAGTACATTATCGTGGCAACCCTAAGGCATGGATGAATTCAGAAATTTTTGAAGAGGTAACTAACAACTGCTGCATTTTTTTTTATGAAAATATTATTTTAATATAATTAAATTTTTTATTAGGTTCTTCTTGATATAGATAGACATTTTAGGTTACAAAATAAAAGGATTCTGCTTTTAATTGATAATGCTCCATCCCATTTTGATCCGAATTATCATCCACCAGAGGATGAAATGGAAGATTAGTACTGGAACATCACGTAATGGATAATAAATTTATTTTAATTTCGTATTATTTAATTTTACTTGATTTTACATTGTTAAAATTTACTTTTTAGAAAATCAAGGCCGCAGAAGGAGACGTCAACCTAATATTTCGCGCCTTCAACTAACTCATGTTGAAGTGGCTTTATTGCCGCCAAATACTACCAGCCATCTTCAACCACTTGATGCTGGGATTATTGCAAGTTTTAAAAATCATTATAAGCGAAATTATTGCCGCCACATGTTAGAATTATTTGAAGGTAAAGATATTAATAAAGAAAAAATTAATATTAAAGAATCCATTGATTATTTGACAGATGCATGGGAAAATGTTACTGAAGAAACAATCCATAATTGCTGGATAAAGACTGGAATATTACCTTCTTCAACTAATAAAGATATAACAGATGCGACACAAGCTCAAAGAGAAAAAATAGATGACGAAGTGGCTAATATTAATCAAATAATTAGAGAGCTTGGTGCAACAGAAGATCCTTATGGTGCTGTATTAGCAGATGCAATTAATGATTATTTTCTTGATTTAGAAAAAGAAATCCCAACTGAAGACGTTTTAGTAGATGATAATGATATTGTAAGATTAGTCCAAGAAGAGATGTGTGATGGTGAAATTAACGAAATTGATTCTGAAAAAGAGGAAATTCAAGTATCTTTAAATAATGCGCTTAAATCCATACAAACTTGGATAAGTTTTTTCGAACAACAACAGTCTGATGAGTTTAATATAGATGATCTATACATTTTTAAAAAATATTTTAAAATTACTAAACGACTTGAGTTTCAATTAGAGATTGGAACCGTATTATAAATGGTCACCCAGATGTCTGTGTAATTTTTGAAATCGGGTACCCGGTTGAAATCGGGTGGTTTATTGGCGCAGTATTTGAAATGGGTTTGTTGTTAACAAACAAAATTTAATATGTATTTATTTCGTAATTATTAAATTAAATTAATAAAATTATTGCATATTATTATGTATTTAATATTTTAATTAATCATTTTAGTGATTTGATTTACATACATTATCATACAATATTATATACAGTAAATTGTAATTTGGAACAGATTTAAGGAGTTTTTTATTTAAATTTCAATTTACAATTGTGAAAAATACTCCAACTAAAATATATGAATTGCATTTGAATTTCTCTTTAAAAACATCATTTTACCCGCCAGTTTTGAATCTAAACGTGTACATTTTGCAGTAATTTGGTTACTCACGTCAGAAAATAGTCTTTCACTGGGTACTGATGAACCGGGAATAGATAAATATTTTCTAGCTAATTTAGCAACATTAGGGAATTGAGTTTTCCGAATTGCCCACCACTCAAAAGGATTTACGCTATGATCAGCTATTGGTGTACGAATAGGATCCAAATAACTTTCTAATTCAGAAAAGGGATTTGCTGTCACCTGCATACCAAAAATAGAAGAGTGCAATCGACTATGGTGTTGTTGTTGGCTTAAGCTACCAGATGGTGATGATTGTACCAAATTTAAATCAATTAATTCTTTAAATTGATGCATTAATTCTGTTTTTGCCTTATTGCGTGTTTCTTCATCCCAGTTAGAGAGTGTTTTCAGACGCGGATCTAAAAGAGATGCTAAAAGACCAATCATTATGGGTTCATTCCAATAGACAAACAAGGAATTATAAATAGTCTGTTTCATTATTTTAAGAATATCTTGTGCTGGCTGAATAGTTGATGCTGCTGCTGCTTTAGATCGAGTTTGGTGGTGATGTGTCATTGATTGCTCTGGAGTATCAAGCTCCGGATTATCTTCTTCATCACTATCACTTAAGTCACTTTCTTCATCTGATTCTTCATGCTGAAAATTTGGAGCATCTTTAAATAAATTATAATTAATTAGCAATATAATTTTTAAAATAATATAATAATTTATAATAACAATATAGTCAATTTACCTTGTTCTAATTCTAAATCATCATCATTGACTTCATCATTTTCAGCATATTTAAATTTGAGGACTTGAATCAAAGGATAAATAATTGATAAAGTAGCATAGGATGTTCCACTAAAGTATGTAGTGGCATCTTCAAAAGGCTCTAATAGATCCACAATTTGTTTTAATAAATTCCATTCATGAGGTAATAAAAGCCATTTTTTAAGTCTTCTCCCATTTGCACGATCATCATAATTATCAGATAAAGGTAATGTTGCACCCAGCCACTCAATTGCTTTATGTAATTTTAACAAACGATTCCAGGAATGATATTTGGAATTCCATCAGGTCTTAATATCTGCAATATTTCGCAAAATTGGTTCTTGCAGATTAGTTGAAATGTTTAGTACTTGTTCATTCGTGCCATCATCATCATCAGAATCATCACTAGAATTATCAGAAATATCTTGTAAAGAGGTATTTTTATGCCTTTGACATTCCTTTTGGGCATTATCAAGGCGCTCACTTTGCTTGGGAGAACTTGTAAAAAAATGTACTAGACGTTTAATTCGTTTAATGTAAATGTTAGTTTTTTGAAATGCACGATTAATTGAGAGTTGTAGGGTGTGAGCAGCACAAGGCAAGCGTTCAATACCATCCCATTGGTTAATTGCATTAACCATATTACTTCCGTTGTCAGTTACAACACATGTAATTTTTCCTTCCAATCCAAATTCAGCTACCTTTTTTTTTAAAAAGGATACAATAGCCCTGTTCAAAATCGTTCGATCGTATTTTTCGGTCGGATTTAAGTTCATTCCAATTGGGCTGATCCGTTTGTGCAACACAACCGTTTTCCGAACTTTCAGACCCAACTTTTTTTTGGGTTTTTAGTTCGAACGCCAAAATAACCAATCAAAAAAAAATTTTTTTTTTTATCTTTTTACACTTTATTAACGCGTTTTTTTTTGAACATGTCTCAACAAATTCAAAAAGTTCGAAGTTCCAAGCAAATTTCAAGGACTCATAAACCTTTAGCGCCAAGACCTTTAGCACC